CTCTGTTTCGGTCTGTGTTCCGATTCAGCGGACCACACGCTGTACTTTTTCCGGTGTGCAGACTGTAGTGCAATGTGACTTTTCTGTTTTGCGATAAGCGCCCGTCTCGGCTCGGGCAGAGCACCCTCCATGAGGATGCTATTCTTAATGCACTCGTCGCATCTTGCGAGGTCAGTCACCCTTGCGAGTCGAACGTGACAGAAGAAGTCCCTCCACATCTTGCAGAAGACCTGGTACGACGCGCAGCAAACACCAAGCTTAGAGAGTCGTCTACGAATACTGAGGAAGACGTCTTTCTTCGTGGCGTTCACTGACGGGAGGCGAATGCGATTTCTAATCTCGAAGTTTGGGCCTGTTTTAGTCTGATCTGACATGGGATCAGACTCATCCAAAATTATGTCCTCGAATGCCGACCATGTGATGGCGTAGGTGGTTGTTGTCCGCGGACGCCCGTCATGGCCGTGAAAAGCGTCGACTGTTCCGTCGTCGAGGTCATCGCTGTATCTTTTGAACGTGTTCCGGCCAACGCCCAGTATGAGACACCAAGCAGTGACACACACAGGGTGCAACTGCACTATCGGTTTGACTGTCGGTTTGCGGTCAACTAACAAAATGAAGTTCTGAAGTTTCGCCATCCACCATTTCCGCCTATCCAGCCCTTTGAGAACGCGGTAGTCACGCCTACACTTCATCACATCCTCCACTCTCAGTTTAGAAAGACATTGATACGTCTTGCAGCATGTTTTGTGGAGAACGGCCTCGCACTCGTCCACGCTACACTTACGTTCGCAAGCGAAATTGGAAGTCGAAGCACTTCTTTTCCTGAGTCTGTACGTGTATTTTCTCTTTCCGTTTCCACCACACAACACAGACAAGGCAGATACAGCGGTATCCTCTCCAACCGGCAAGTCAACGTCCAACAAACGAGCAACATGCCCCCCCCCCCCTCCACTGCCTTCGCATGACGGCGGCGGTAGCATGTCCATGGGAGCACACCGGTCGCCAGTGTCACTTGCTGGTGACGAATTCACCCGAATAGAAGGTTCAGCAGACCCGTGCGGCGGTCCCGTGCCGGCATTAGAAGGCAATCCGACGGCGTCATTGATGATGTTGTCAAGGCGAAGACGTCGCACGACGTTCATATTGGAAGATGGCACGGCCAGATGACGTGCGCGACGTCTGGGCATACCATCACCACGGTGTGCAGGATGGCCACGTTTCAATGGTGTGATGGCAACGTCTGGAGACCGACTCTTACATGAGGTCTCAGCAGCATGGGGCACGGGCGTGCGAAGAGACTGCACAGATGGCAAAGAACTGTAGTAACAACTGTCCATCCCGCTGGCCATTGAGTCGGTAACGCAGATGGAAATGCCCTGTAAAAGGCCATGACACAACAGAGGAATCCAAAACAGGAAGACACGTGAGAAGGGACGCCGCCCCTCCCCTTTCCCCCCCACCGTCCCCTCCCCCTTCTGCAGAAGATCCCCATTTGGAATATCGGGCTCACATATCCGACACAGGGGGGTCCGTGAGACCCAGAACGTCGAACGCATGTGCATCAGTGGAGGGAACCCACCTGCCCCACTTTCGAAACAGGGGCCCGGCGGAGGCGGAACACCGGACCCTCCGCGCCGCAAGTGGAAGGATCCGGCGGATCTGGAACGCCAGAGATGTGTTCACAAGAGTAGGGGGCCAGCGTTTCTAATCAGACCGCCGGTCCCCCTCTGCGCAGCAAAGGGGGTCCCCCTTCGCTGAGAGAGCGAGGCCCGGCGGATTAGCAACAGGGGGTCCGGCGATCCCAATCCGCCGGACCCCCTTTTTGAGCGCGCAGGGGGGTCCTGCGTCCACAAGACGAACAGAGGGTCCGACGCTGGAGCCCGTGCGGGTTGTCCAGCGGATTGGGAACGCCGGACCCCCCTTTTAATAGGTGGGCGGTCCGGCGGATTGAGAACGCCGGACCCCCTTGCTGAGAGAGGGGCGGGGTCCGGAGGATCATCAATAGGGGGTCCGGCGTTCCGCATCCGCCGGACCCCCTTTTTGAGCGTGCAAAGGGTCCTGCGTCCGGAACACAAACAGAGGGTCGGGCGCCGGAGCCCGTGCGGGTTGGAAAGGGGGGCCGGCGGATTGGGAATGCCGGACCCCCCGTTCAACAGGTGGGGGGTCCGGCGGATTGAGAAGGCCGACACCTTATGCCCGACAAAGG